CATTTATTATAATTAAAACCCATCTGCCATTTATTTGCCCAACTCACTAAATGATCTAAATCCTTTTATGAAGCAGCAGCATCTTCTTAACAGTTAGCAACATCCAAGAATATTCCTTCTTCTATGTCATTGATGTAAATCAAAAAGAGCAAAGATACTAAAACTGAACCCTGAGGTACCCCACTTATGACATTAATCCAGTTTGGCTGAACTCCATTTATAACAACCGTCTGCTTTCTTTCATCCAGCCACTCTTCCATCCAATTAGTTAACTTATCCCCCACACCTAAAGAGATAATTTTTTACAAGCTTTTATGTGGCACCTTTGTCAAATGCTTAGTGAATATCCAGATATGCCAAATATACACCCTTACCCTCATCTATATAACATTCAAAGAATGTCAAAAGATTTGTGAGACAAGATTTTTCCTCAGTGAATAGGTCTGGCATAGCCAAGTGGTTAGAGCACTTGAATCGCAATCTGAGGGTCATGGATTCGAATCTCCGTCCCACCAAACAAGCTCGCCCTTTCAGTCATGGGGCCATTATAATGTAATAGTTAATTCCACTATTCTTTGGTAAAAGAGTAGCCCAAGAGTTGGTGGTGGGTGATGATGACTAGCTTCCTTCCCTCTAGTCTTACACTGCTAAATTAGGGATGGTTAGTGCATCTAGCTCTCGTGTAGCTTTGCACAAAATTCAAAACAAACTAAACCACTAAACTTTGTTAAACTTTGATGCTTTGCAAAGCATCTTTTAACAGATTTTCCAAATCTTTTCTCACAACTGATGTAAGACTAATAGGCCTATAATTACTGGAACAATTTTTATTACCTCCCTTGAAAAAAGGAATGACATTAGCTAACTTCCAATCCTTTGGCACCTGCCCACTATTCAAGGACTTACAAAAAATAGTAGCAAGTGGCTCACATATCCAATTGTTAATCTCTTTCAAACCCTTTGGGAAATATTATATGGCCCAATTTTTTCTTAACAAGCTCAGAATTAATGCAGCCATATTGTTCAACCTTGTTTGCATGTATCAACTGTTCAATGTGAAGAATTCTGCTAAAATCTTCATTAAGAAGAAGCAGAGTTTAATAATCCAGCCATCTCATAATCATCAGATACTAGCCTTCCTTTATCATCCCTCAAGGGTGCTCCCCAATTCCAACATTTTGTTTACTTTTAATGCACTTAAAAAAATCCTTATTGTTAAAAGTTTTACATTTTCAACAAAACTTTTATGGTACATCCTTTTTGATGTCATAATTTCCTGTTTGATCCAGTCTCTTGATCTTCTAAATTTCCTGTCATACCAGTCAATTTAATTTTTTTTAAATTTGTGATGCTTTTCTTTAATTTTATCTCTTATACCCTTTGTAATCCAACCTGGTTTTTTAATTGCAACCACCCTTTTTTTTTTATAAGGACTATGTTTATCTTGAATACTTAGAATTTTATCCTTAAAAATGTTCTACATTTGATCAGTGTCTCCAAATAACCCAGTTTCCCAATTCACAACAGATAATTCTTGTCTTATCCCTTCAAAATTGGCTTGTTTGAAATTTGTAACCAAAATATTGTTACATCTCTGTTCGTTTGTTAATTTTCCGTAAAAATTCTTTCCGAAGAAACTTTATCGATACATGTCCTTTCGTAAATAAAACTAGTTTATTCTTTCTCAATACAACTTTGCAATACACTTAATTCCCACAGTCAGTTAACTTAAACAAAGGCTATAATTCACAACGAACGATTCACGCGCTTGACTCAATTGTCCGTCTCTATCTCTGTTTGCAATTCAATTCCATTGTTGCCGTCACTTCTTGGCGGTCTTGTATACAAGAATACCGCACATCTAGTAAACACTCGAGGCTTTACGAACGGACATGAATTTTCTAGAAGCTCATGACGTGCTACCAGCATCACATGACTTCCACTGTCATAACAATATCATTATTTCTGATCTCCATATGCCAACATGTACAGCATTATTATTATATACCCAGAGGTCTTTTAATTTTATTTTGAGATCTACTCTAAGAAGAATGCTACTATCATACTTTATAGTTTTAAGTACTAGAAATATACATTTATTTTATTAGAATTATTAACAAAAATAATTGTTACAAATTTTTAGTTTACTTTGTAACAAATATTCAAATATTTATTATTTTCTGAAATTAGATTGAAATGTATTTATGACTGTGGATGTTGTATATATTTTAATTGTCTTTATTGGGGCAGTTTCTACTCTAATACACCTTAAATCTAACCTTATATCTTATACTATCTATTGAATACATATTCATCAAACATACATGCTTATTTTGATATAATATTTGAATGTTACTGTTATCGATGTGAATATGCCTTTCTTGTATATGTAATGCAATTTATTGATTTTCACTGCAACAGCCTGACTGTAGTACTGAAGAAAAAAAAAGTGAAACTTAAGTTAAAATTAAGCAACTGAAAGTGCTGTTGATCACGTATATGTCTGTTAAATTAATTATATATTTGAAAAATATTTCTTCATTTCAAGTTATTATATCATATGATGAAAGTTTTCATGTTAATATCATCTATTTTCTTTAAAAACATATTTACATGAAAATTTCCAGGATAGGGCAGATTGCAGAAGATGCAGTGAAAGAAAGTAGTACTTCTAGAGAGCCTACTAATGAATGGGAAGAATCACATACTGAGACCATTGCAGGTAGTGTATTCTTTTTTGTTTTAATTAAAACTAAATGTAAACCTAAAAGCATTATTTTAATGGGTATTAATGAGCATACTCTTCTTTTCTCAGTGAAGGTGTAATTAAATAGATCCTATTATTTTGTTAAATGAAAAAACTTATGCTTGAGATGTGTGTGTGTACCTTGTAAAATTTTTTTTGCAATTGTTAATATCTGGACAATTGTTATTATGCAGCAACATGAAAGATGTTGAAAAAATAATATGTATACAGTATAATTTAAGATGTATATAATAAAAGGCTTAAATTTAATATTATTTCACTAATGATTAAACATAATGATGTTGATAAAAATAGATATAGCTAAATCATGTGATGACAAATTGTTCATAACATAATGAATAGAAGAGTGGAATAATTTAAAGGATTAATCTACAGATAAGTGAAATTTTTTTTGTGACATGAATAAGTTTTTTGCTCTTTTCCAGTTATGCAAAGGTCAGACCTACCAAAGTTGACTGGATTGATGCTGTTTTTCCAACAACTGAAAGGATTATTAATCAAACGATTCCACTATACCAAACGTCACTGGGTTTTGGCATTGTTTCAACTTGTTTTACCTATTTTGATCATTTGTTTGATGATATGGCTAGATAAACTCTCCAGTGGAGGACTGTCTAATGACTCCCCACCTCTCAGATTGGACCTTAAAGGAAGCTTTGGTTATACAAAAGGTTTTTATGCGTACACTGGTAATATGGATCCAAAGTGGATCACTCTATACAAACAAACATTGGAACGTGCTGGTGTTGAGGTGAAAGAAAATGTCTCAGATCCAAACAAATATCTCCTGGAAATTGGAGAAGATGATTTCAGCAGTTTTGTCAAAAAACATATGGTTGGAGGTGTTTTTAAATCTTCAGACAACATTTTAAAATTAACTTCATGGTACAATGGAGAACCATATCATGTTGCAGCAATGTCTTTAAATTTGATGCATACCACGATGCTACGTTATGTAACAGAAGTTGATACAGCTTCCATAACAGTGGTAAATCATCCTTTAACAGGAAGCACCATTAAAACTTTAAAGAATGTGGCAGCTAGTTTTGTTAGCCGATTTCTTTACACAATTTTTCTACCAATTGCTTTCACTTTATTTTCTTCAGCTTTTATTTTGTTTCCAGTTGAGGAAAGAATTTCTAAGGCCAAATTAATTCAGCTGATGACTGGAGTTAAAGGAATTACATACTGGATGATGAACTTTGTCTGGGATTTCAGCATTCATTTTGTTTGTTCTGTACTTCTTCTTATTCCGTTTTTGGCTTATGACCCTAACAATATTTATTCTGGTCAACCTGAATCCATAGGTGAGTATGAAAACTGTAGCAAAGTATAAAATCATTTGTTTCATGTAAAATTTATTACCCATCTTGCAAGTTAAACTGCTGAAATTAAAACTTATGAAAATAACTAATTTTTAATAGGTAAATAAAGTCCTTATTGTAATAAAGATAATTAGCTAGTTTAGGTTTTGGAATTCATACTTATATTATGAACATTTAATTGAATATATTCAAGGATTATTTCTAAAATATGAGATATTGTAAAGTTATTCTTCTATCTTTGAACTCCATTCAGTATAAATAAATGCTTTGGTAAAAATTATATAATTTTCTTTGAAAGTTTTTCCATGACCATTTTATCAAATATCTTCACTGCTTTTATACATTTAAGGATTTTTATTCCACTAAGAAAAGTACATAAGTTTTCTAAAATGATTTTAAAAACTGACAGAATGTTTAAAACAAAAGATTAGTTAAAACTTGCAAGAAATTTCTGAAACTGGGGTAAATAATTTATATGAAAAATATTTCTAAATAAGGAAACTACATGTAGAACTACAGAAAAGTTTGTTTGTTTTTTAAATTAGATATTTTAAGGATGTAAACATGTATTTGTTTTTAATTAGAATGTGTATCTCTTGCTCTATGATTTTAAGTTTTTAGACCATTTTGGTTATTTTTTTCTTTGTAGGAGTTGTTTGTTTATGTGATCTTCAGAGAAAATGGATTAATTTTGTGTGGTCAATAAGGTCATTCAGTAATTCAGTGATCAATAAGGTCATTCAGTAATTCAACTCCATTAACCATTAGTCCAGTAGGGTTATTGCCATTTGTAAATGAGATATTTTCTTTTGAATTGGACACCATAATTTTACATAACACATTTAATTATTTCTGAGTTGTTTTTATCCACTGCATGTAAGATGGACCCATATCTTTATTGTTTAATAATAAGCTTAAATTGAAAAAAAGAAAATAGTTGATATTGAGGAAGCATTATTAAGTAATTGACAAAATAGCATAAGAATTTGGTATAAAACACTTACAAAGATAATACATTTACTTGTTATGCAATCAACATTAATTAATAAAACATATTAAAACTTTTACATGTTTATGTGGGTATTAAGTTAGTACCATTTTAACAAGAAGTCAAGTATAGATAAAATTTTCTTATAATTTTTAGGTGCTCTATTCTTGTTGATGCTACTCTATGGCTTTACTTCAATTCCACTGAGCTATATCTTCTCATTCTTACCCAAGTCGCCATCCACAGGTTTTGTTTTGCTTGCTATAATCAACATTATTGGAGGTAAGTAGGTGATATTTTGGGTGAAAATATTAGACAGTACACTAAATGTTAGCATGTTGTATTTTTATCTCCACAGAAAGAGTAAATTTCATGAGTATTACAATGGTTTATCCTCTTGTCTAATCAATCTTGCTGTTATTTTATTGTGCAAGAACATGGACAAGTTATAAGCTGTATTTTTGACATTTTTACTTCTTTTTCTAATTTTATAGTTATTATTTGTGGTACTATTATAATGTATTCTATCATTGGGCAGGTTCTTTTGGATTATATTGTAAAAAAAATGCCAACTCCAGTCCATGAAATGATAATGAATTTATCTATTGATTCAGTGAGGTCTAATTTCATGAACAAACTTACTTGATAAATGAAAAGACAAAATTAATTATTAATTCAAAACTTGAAATTGAAACTAGCAAGAAACCACACATAAATGAGCAGGATTCACATGAAGAACAAGGTAAATACACGTCTAAACTCTCCAATGCCAATCAAGAAAGTGAAGATTGTGCTGCAGTGGTAGAGTGAGCTAGTATAGGTGGTGCAATATGATTGGTGGAGGGTAGTCACATGTTGCTGCAATTATGCATAAAATAAAGGGATTTTTAAAAAAAACTTTATATTGGCAAGATTTTTATACATTTGTGCTAATGAAAGGCTAAATCAAGCATACAGCTACATGATCTCTACAAATGAGGTTCAGGGATTTTGTCTGTGAAAGGAAAAGTACAGTAATTTGTTACAGGTGGATAAAAAGAGAGAGAACATAGTACTGAAGTTTGAGTAAAATACAACTATATGTTGAAAATTAAAGAAAAGGAATAGTTAGTAAGGTAGTGTTAGTACAACTGCAAAACATACCTGTATTCAAATTTAAAGACAAATTTAAACAAACTTAACTTTGAAATGAATTGAAGATAAAATCAAATGTACAACATGATAAGCAGATGGAAATAGGTATAGCTAAAGAAGGACTGGATTTCATTGGCAGATTATTGGTCCTCATAAGCATGAAAACAAACTTCCATGGAGGTCAAAATCAATCTCTCTTGAAAGCATCAAAACTGCATCAACAAACACATTCTCTCTACCTGTAACTAACCAATCAGAAAAAAGGCACTGTTATGCATAAATGTCTACTGTTACATGGGATTGTGACATTGTATATCAGTTTACCTTGTGTATGGAAGACAACTTGGCCAGAAAGTTGACATAAAGGAACACTTCAGATTCAATTCCACACATGACCTGTAGTTTCAGAATTAGCACTTAGAAAACTTAAAACCATTTTGGATCTGAAATTACTGTATAGGAGAGTAAGGTATGTAGTATTTGCATACTGCATTTGTTATATACATATACAGGGGTTGGTTTGCTGTTATATTTAGTGTCCTCTCTCAGGTAGTAAACTATACAATCTTACTTACTTACAGAAACATGTCAACTAGGAAAAAGTTTTTTTAAGTTATTGTTATAGAGTACAAATTTGAAAGAGCTCTTTGGAAGCTAAAAACATGTATATCTTCTGTTTAGTATTTAATTCAATATTGTTCAAATTTATCATATTTTGGTTCTAAAGATTCAGGTGCACTAAGGCAAATGCTTAATTGGGTTATGTTAAGTCATACTTGTTAAATTAAAGATGACTATGGATGGCCTAGTGGTTAGTGTATTCAGACTGTGAATTCAAGGATTCATGCATTGCATCCTGTTGTTGCCAAAATTTGGTCTGCACTTTGAGTACTTGAGTGTTCAATAAGAGTGATGATCAAATCCTACTATTTGGTCAGGCAAGAGTAGCCAAAGAGTTGGTGGTAGGTACTGTTAACTAGCTGTCTTCCCTCTATTCTATTAGCTAAAATTTGGGGATGGCTATGTGCAGTTAGTCATTCAGTATCTTTTCACAAATATTCTAAACAAACAAACAATAATTTAAAGATGTAATGCAATTTGCATACATCAAATGTATTAATTAAAATATTCTGTACATTTTACAGTCTTAGGCCAATATACAAAATTATAGAACTGCATACAAATACATTCCATCATAATGTTTTCTTATTTTATGGATAGGGTATTGATGATAAATATTTCAAACTAAACACGTATCAGTGTAGATTGTAATTTTGTGTAACATATTCTCATTTAATTTTTACTTTTTACTACTGCAGTTTTTGAAGTTGAACTGTGTGATGTTTGATGCTTAAGCGATTTTTGTTTGTACCTGAGAAAACAAACTGTTGAACTGTATTATTTCTAAAAACATTTAACGCTAAGGTTTAGTTCAATGGGATAATTCTACATAAAGGAGTAAAATTTAATACTGGTTTCATCATTGTTTGTTTCAATGGGGTTTTGACATTAACCTTACATGCAGTTTTGCTTGTCATATTAGTCAACCTAAAAGATCAAACAGCATTTAGATTATTAATACACCCAGACCTCTACACTGCTTTGAAATGAAGTAACTTGAAGTATTTTTTTTTAATTTACATTTTAGATACCACAGACATAAGAGGGTTGAAATTTCCCATGGGAAACTCTGCATTAGTTGTAGAAGGGAGCAACATTTTGAACGTTTTTTGCTGCAACCTCAAAAACTAAGACAGGAGTTTTAACTTACAATACTGTTGGTGGAAGTATGTGACACATTAGTTGGATAAAAACAACTAGCAAGAAGCTGCAATTTTTATATTCATGCTTTAATTTTAGTGATTTTTTTTTTCTGAAGGATTATTATGGTAAGAGATTTTTTATTTTTTTCAGGAATGGTACTGTCTCTAATATGTTTGATAATAGAATCTGTCAGACCTGATCTAGAAGATACAGTTAATATACTGTGTTGGATATTTCGCTTTATTCCAAACTTTGCTCTGACATGGGGATTTGGAAACATCAACAGAATCAGCCAAGTAAACAACTTGTGTGATAAAATTACAAAGGAAAACATGAATGATATATGCCCTGTTCTTATTACACTTGGCAATGATCTCACAGTGAAGTGTTGTGAATGTAAGTTTGAACTTGTTTAAGTTATTCATGTGGCCTCTTTAAATAATTTTTGGAAGTTTCATGCTATTATACATGTATGTGTGAAAAGTTTTTTAAAATTTAGTATTTTATATTTTATTAGGAATTTCATATAATAAATTTGCATTTGATACAACAACAAAACAAGACATAAAATGATTGGAATATAAAACTTTTTCACTTGCTATTGCCACATTTATGAAAATTGGTAAAGTCATGGCTATAATTGATATTAGAGTGTATAAAATTTAAATTTGATCACTACTGTATGTCATTTATCACAATACATAAAAAATTACGGTAAATGGAAAGGATTTAGTAAAAAATAAAATTACTGTAATTCTTTTTCATATTCCCTGGCATACAGTTATATGCTTTCATATAGCTACTTTGTGTCTTTCCTAATAAGAATAAGAAGCTTACATTAATTTATTAGAACTTTTATCAGTACTAGAAAGCAATATTAAATTAACCTTTATTGTTTCTCAACTAAAACTTTTAAGAAAATTTGAACTTTACAAATTGATATAAAATACAGAAGTATTCTTCACATTGCATTAGTTGTAAATTCTACTTTCTGCCTGCTTCACTCATGAATTCATGACTTGAGATTTTTAATATTGCAAGGGCTCTTTTAAACACAAAGCTCAAATCCAGATAAATTTTAGTTTCCACTTTTAAGGTTAACTTTTAATTTAAAACATACATGTGGATTTACCATTACTACATCACTGCATATTTCAGTGAATTTGCTTAAAAGTGCAACCTCATTATGTACATTTTCGTTGAGCTAAACCATTCCACAACCCCTTAATAATATGTTACGTTCATTATTCCTTTTATTTTTAACCCATTACTTACCAATTCATTCCATTTTTTTAAGAAAATTATTTATCTCAACTGCATTTAGTATTTTCCAGAATTTGAATTTAGAAAAATCTAAGAATTTTGTAGGTAAGAAATACATACTATGGGAGAATAATAGCATTTACATATTACATATCACACTCATGTATTTAACATAACATAATGCTTAGGAATAAGAGGGGACGTATTGGTCCATCTAGGCTGTCCCATCCTCTAAACTAAACTAAGACTATTAAATATAAAATATAAATAAAAACCCTCAAATCCAGCCCATATCATTCATAAACTTATCAAGCTTTCTCTTAAACGCACTTAAATTTACTGCATCCATGACATCTGAAGACAACCCATTCCAAACATCAACTGCCCTGTTAGAAAAATAAAACTGTCTTTGCTGAAAATTACTCTTACCTTGTCAAAATTTATATTTGTGTCCTACCATCGCACCATTAAGTATGAAAAAAGATGATGCGTCAACACTGTCAATTTCCTTAACAATCTTACACATCTTAATCAGATTCCCTCTAACTCTTCTTTTTTCAAGAAAAAAAATTCAGAGATATTAACCTCTCCTAGTATGACAACCCCTCCATCCCAGGCACCATTCTAGTAGCTCTTCTCTGAATCCTTTTCAACAATCCTTAGATAAAGAGCCCAAGACTGAACACAATACTTCAAATGTGGCCTAATTAGTGATCTCTACAATGAAATTATAACCTCTTTAGACTTCTATTCAATATTTCTGTTGATACAACTTAAAATCCTATTTGCCTTACCACTACCAACAGCACACTGCTTGGATGGCTTAAGAAACTGATCAACCACTACATCAAGATTCCTTTCTTTCATAACGCTGTTAAGGCAATTCCCATCCTAATTATTCTTATAATTTAAATTATGATAACCCACATGCATTATCTTGCATTTATTATAATTAAAACCCACCTGCCATTTATTTGCCCAACTCACTCAATAATCTAAATCCTTTTGTAAATCAGCAACATCCTCTTCACAGTTAGCAACACCCAAGACCTTAATATCATCAGCAAATTTAAGTAATTTATTGACCATTCCATCATCTATGTCGTTGATGTAAATCAAAAAGAGCAAAAGTCCTAAGACTAAACCCTGAGGTGCCCCACTTGTGACATTAAATCAATTTGACTGAACTCCATTTGTAACAGTCTTTGGCTTTCTTCCATCCAGTCACCCTTCCATCCCATTAGCTAACTTATCTCCCACACCTACAGTGAAAATTATTGTACAAGTCTTTTATGTGGCATTTTGTCAAATGCTTTCTGAAAATCCAAATACACCAAATCTACACCTTTACCCTCATATACATAGGCAGGAACATTTTCAAAGAATGTCAAAAGATTTGTAAGATTTTCCCTTAGTGAAAATATGTTGACTATTTAATAAATTCTAAACAATGTTAAATGACTTTGCAAAGCATCTTTTATTAGACTTTCCAGAACTTTTCCCACAACTAATGTAAGACTAATAGGCCTATAATTACTGGAATAATTTTTTATCACCTCCCTCTAAAAGAGTAGTAACATTAGCCAAATTCCAATCCTCTGACTCCTGCCTATTATTCAAGGACTTACAAAAAATAGGAGCATGTGAATATTAAAAACAGATATACATCTAGCAGTCAGGAAAAACCCTGAAAAACCAAAGTATCAGAGCTAGGTGTTGAGGAGAACTCTTAAGTATTAGAATTGAATATGTTTTATTCAATCCAAATATTATAAGATGTGAAGACAAATACATTTCTTAATATTGTTATGACAGTGGAAGTCATGTGATGCTGCTGGTGTGTTTGGCGCTGGTAGCATGCGTGAAATTTCTCAAATGATCATGAAGGCCTGAGTTCATTTGAGATGCCCTCTTTTTAGTATATAAACCTGGCGAGAAAAACCAGAGGAAAAAGAGATAGATAATTGAGTCAAGCAAACAGTAGGCACCGTAAGTAAAGTGTGTGAATCACTGTGATTTATAGCATGTGTTATAAAAGTTGTTAAGTTTAAATTGACTGTGGGAATTCTGTGTATTACTAAAAGTTGTATTGAGAAAGAATAAACTGGTTTAATCAAGAAAGGACTTGTATCACTGATGTTCCTCGGAAATCATTTCTACCTGAAATTGACACCAATTTGTTACGTATCTGCTTGTTTGTTAGAGAGTGGGACGAAAAAAAGAAAAGAAAGGAAGATGGAAGCGAGAAGTGGCAAATCAAACTACAGCTTAGCAGATTTGATAGCAGAAATACAAGAACAGCAAAAGAAACAAGAAGAGAGATTACAGCAGTTGTTGGAGGAAAAAGAAAAGAAACAAGAAGAGAGATTACAGCAGTTGTTGAGGAAAAAGAAAAGAAACAAGAAGAGAGATTACAGCAGTTGTTGGAGGAGAGAGAAAAGAAAC